TGATAGTCAGGGTTGTTGTGTACGATCAGAGAACAGGGAAGGTTTTGAAAAAGGGTAAGAAGGATGGCCGTGTTTTCGTTCTTCAAGAGTATGAGTGTGCTCGCTCAGGTGTGAAGAGTCGCTCGTGTTCTGAGGGGGGCGAAGATGGGACCAGCCGCTCGTTTTTGGGTGTTGTTGAGGGCATTGCTCTTGGCGAGGATGCCTTGTTTGTTGAGGACCAGTTTACTTTGAATAAGGATGATATTGTTGACTCTTGTGATTCTTTGGCCTTTTTTGTTCAGCCTTTAGACAATTTGGATTTTAATGTACATACGTCGGTTTGGGATTTATGGCATCAACAACTGCCTCATAATGCTAGACTTCTCACTAGGTTTCGTCGGAATTTGCTCCTTGATTCTTTAGGCTCTCATTTTACTCAGCCTTCTCCCTGTGTTGATTGCATCGAGGCAAAGACTTCTCAGTCTTCCTTCTCATCGAGTAATACAGTTTATGACTCTCCTTTTGATTTGATTCATACTGGTCTATGGGGTCCTTCATTGATTCTGTCACGTATGGGTTATCGGTATTTTGCATTATTCATTGACCATGCTATGAGATATGTCTGGATTTATTTTTTCCGCCGTAAGTCTGAGTTGGTTGATCATGCTATGGCATTTGTTCAACTTATTCGCACTCAGTATGGGAAGAATATCAAAATTATTCGTTCCGATCCTGGGGGCGAATTTAGCTTGCACCCGTTAATGTCCTTTTATTGGGAGCATGGTATTATTTCTCATCAATCTTGTCCAAGGGCATCTCAGCAGAACGGCCTGGTAGAACGACGACATCGTCACGTGCTTGAGCTCACACGAGCACTTCTTCTTCAGTCACAGGTTCCTGGTTCCTTTTGGGTTGAAGCTATCAACGTGGTGGTGCATCTAATTAATCGCCAAATTACCACTACTCTGAGTGATCGATCTCCTTACTTATGTCTATACTCAAAATAACCCGATTATTCTTAGCTTTGGATTTTTGGTTGTGTCTGTTTTGTTCTTCTCCAAAAGAAAGATCGTCATAAGCTGGAGTCCAAGACTGCTAGGTGTGTTTTTATGGGATACAGTGATCGTCACAAAAAATATTTGTGTTATGATCCTAGTGAGCGTCGCATGCGCATTTCCTCCATGCGTTTTTTCTTGAACGGGTGATGTTTTATTCCATACCTTTCAAGAATCATCTACCTATGTTGGATTTTGTGCGACCCTTACCAGAATTTGACCCTATTCTTACGCCCACTTTTCTACCTGATACCCCTGATAATGGTGATCCACCTCACCACCTGCTACTCCCTTTGGTTTCTCTACAGTCTTCCACGTCTAAGTCGTCCCATTCCATGACTTCTCCCTATCCAGCTCGCCTTCCTCCTCCAGCTCTGAATCCCTCTCTTCCCCTAGTATGCAGTTGTCTGATATCTCCACCTCATCATCCGAGCTTGAGGCTCTTTCTTCGCCTGATGAATTGCCGCTCCCAGCCCTTTATCGTTCGAACTGCTCCACACTTGGTCAGCCTCCCCTTTGTTTGCAGGATTATGTAGGCTTCTCTATTGAGACCATCCTGATCCCGAGCCATTATCGATTTGTTGTGGGCCATCTAGTATGAGATGGGGAAATGAAAGTTGAAATTGATCCATTGGAAGCTAATTAGACGTGGGATATCGTTTCGCGCATCCCTAGTATTGTGGTCATTGGCAATCGCTGGGTTTGTGTTATTAAGATGCATCCAGATGGTTCAATGGAAAATTTTAAGACTCGAGTGGTTGCTCAAGGTTTCTCCAGGAATATGCCATTGATTATGACGAGACCTTTGTCCCGGTTTTTCGAATTCAAACGGTTCGTGCTATCTTTGTCGTAGCAGCTCTTCGGCGGTTGCAGATTGTTCAGTTCGATGTTAAAAATGCGTTTCTGCATGGTGACTTGAAGGAGAATATTTATATGGAGTGTCCACCTTGATATGACAAGGGTGGGTGGGATGTGATATGCAGACTTAAGAAGTCACTTTATGGTTTGAAGCAAGATCCTAGAGCTTGGTTTGAGAAGTTTCACAGTACTATTTAACAGGCTGGTTTTATCCAGAGCTTCAGTGACCCTTCTATGTTTTTGCGGCATACAGTGGATGGAGTAGTTGTACTCCAGCTTTATGGAGATGATATTATTGTAACAGGAAGCGACGATGCTGGTAGTAAAGAATTAACCAGTTCCTTGCACTCTGCCTTTAATCCGAAGGAGCTAGGAAATTCTTCCTATTTTTCGGGACTAGAGATAAGTCGCTCAGACAAGGTATTATTTTTCAGTCGGCGTGAGAATTTACGGGATCTCTTGGAGGCTGCGCAGTACAGTGATTGTAGGACATGTTCCACTCCCATGGCTGCTAGAAGATCAGACTTTCTATAGGAGCGTAGTTGGTAGTTTAATCTATCTCACACATACACGACCAGACATAGCATATGCAATTCAAAACATGAGCCAGTTTATGGGAGTAGCAAGGAGAGCTCATCTGGATGTTGTACATCGGCTACTGCAGTACTTAAAGCACACGCAGGACCTTGGTACGTTTTTCCCTGCAGATGGACGACTGGAGCTGGAAGGTTATGCTGATGCTGATTATGCAGGCTGTCTTGATACTCGACTTTCTACATCGGGTTGGTGTGTGAGGTTTGTTCGTTCTTTTATTTATGGCATTGCAGAAAGCAGGAAAAAATTTCTAAGTCATCAACTGAAGCGGAATATCGGTCTATGTCTGAACTTAGCTCTGCGATAGTATGGCTTCAGCGTCTCATACAGGATCTGGGAATCAAGTGTAAGCTGCCCATGAGGATGTATGGAGATAATACGAGTGCGATTCAGATAGTGATTAATATAGTGCTTCATGATCGGACTAAGCATATTGAAGTACATGTGCATTACATTCAACAGTTAGTTGCAGAAGGAGTGATATAATTGAGTCATTTATCTACAGAACATAAGATAGCAGATCTACTAACCAAGGTTGTTTCTTCAAGTCGACATTGGTACTTATCTTGTAAATTGATGTTAGTCAACCAACATCAACTTGAGGGAGGGTGTTGATTATATTGTTGAAGTACCAATATGTAATTTACCTTGTAAGCAGCCTCGGTTAGTGTTAAGGTTTAGAAACCTATAAATACTCATGTAAAACTATAAAGAGTAATCAAGCAATAAGAAAACCATACAACCTAATTGTGGGAGAAACGTTTTTTTCTTCAAACTTGGGCCTTAAGCTCCAGGGATAATGTGACAAAACTCATCGAATATATAGGTAAAAATCTTGTTTATAGGCAACATCATGGACCCGGTGGTCAGAATCAAGAAGAGGGTTGTGCATGGTAGTGCCTCGAGTCGTGGTAAGCTTGACACTTCTTTCATTATCTTCTTTTCTCCATGTCTTATGAAATTCTTATTAGGCGAAAATCATGATCCGGGCATGAATGACAATAATGTTATTTGGCGAAAGTCAGGGACGGAGCCAACTCATAGTTAGGAGGAGCCCTCCCCCCCCCCCCCCCCCCCCCTAAAATTGTAAATATAGCTTTGGTGCACGTAAGAATCAAGAAATGGCTGTGGTGTATTGGCTTTGCTATAGTTTTTTGCAATTTCAAAGATTAGCATAGGGGTTCGAATCCCCTTGGATGCTGTTTTTCATCCCATTTTCTGTGTAGGTTGTCTCCCTAACTAATTCACCTATGTTTTAGGGGGAGTTTGGATGGAGCAACTAAAAAATGGACCAATTGTCTCATTTTACAAGATGTGTAATTTGAAATGAGTTCATTCGAATCGTCTACTCCCACACCCGACAGTTTTGATTGCCTCAAAATGAGTTAATTTGAAAATTTCAATATAGAATTGATTTATCTAAATTTTTTGTTACCAAACGAATCAATTTGGCTAATTTGTCTCAAAACGACACAATTGGATCAAATTGATCCGTTAGAATTCCTCATTCAAACGACAATTAGTATCTTCTTGCTGTCTTTGATTTTGTACTTGTGAACCACTACAGTTTGAACTATGGGTTATTCCTTCTATCTTCTTAACGAATTATTGTCACCATTATAGAAAAGCGCCCAGTAAACATGAGTTTAAAAACATGAGTTTAAACTTACCAAAGGAAAAAATGAATTTCAAAATTATAAGAGAAGGAAAATTGTGAAAAATATTATACATAATATATTTTCTTATAACAAAGTTTCACAAGGAATATGATAGACTACATCTAGACTCCATAAATACTTCTGAAATTTTATTTAATTTTAAAATTTGATTTTTTGTTGAATTTACTTAGTGTAAGAAAAAAATTGGCCCCTCCTAACTTATAATCCTAGCTCCGTCCCTGGAGAAAGTGTTATGGTAATGCAAAATTCAGACAAGAATGAGAATAATATTATGATTATAAATAAACAAGATTGGCATTTTGATTCTATCAAGTGTATATATGGTAAGAGCTGAGACGCCAATGGTGAGTGGTGACACCAAATTCAGACAAGAATAAGAATACTATTATTACGGGAAAAGTTAACAATCTTACGAAATTAAAATAGTGAAACTAATAGGATGGTGAAAGTACGTTGAACATGTTTTTAAAAATGTTCAACAATAAAATCAAATCTAATTGGGAACTTATGTGATGCCAAAAATGAAATTGGAAATTTAGGAAGGAGTGAAAAAGAATTCAGCAATTCATTATATATGACATCATTATTTTAATGTTTGACGACTCATATTTTCATATCCAATTAATATGCGCCCTCCGAATACTTGAAGTATGTTGAATCCAAAATGATCAACGCAACCAAATCAATAATACTTGTCACTTGATTGGCCACCCGAGTTCATACCACTCTAACTCGAGGTTCCATCGAGTCAAACAATCCCGACCTCCTTAATTCGTCGTAACTCACCATCATGTTCTGCATAACACAGGTTGACCATATGAATCCACGTACCATTTCATTTGACAGCCGGACGAATCATGGACGTCGATCGGTCCATCGGTTTACCGCGCGGGGTGGTCGCGGCCCAATTCGAGTCCAGATCCGAGGGATGAATGGAAGATATGGTCCGCATGATATTCTTCACGCTTTGCAACCTATTGAAGGCCTTCTTCTGATCAGTCGGGGTGTCGCCCAATTTGTCAGTAGTAGCAGGCCCATGAGCGGTAGTGGCTGCGGCCCAATTAGAGTCGGACGCATCATATGGATGAATGGAAGATATGGTCCGCGTAATCTTCCTCACGCTTTGAGGCTTGTTGACGGACGGCTTTGGTGTAGTAGTAGTACAATCTTCCTTCTTGGTGTAGCGCGGGGTATCGCCCATTTTGTTAGCAGCAGGCCCATGGGCTCCGGTAGTGGTGGCCCAATTGGAGTCCAGATCGTACGGCCTGATGGAAGATATGGTCCGTATGATCTTCTTGACGCTGTGGGCCCGGTTGATGGATGGCTTGGGAGGGATCACAAGGTTGCCCATTGTTGGGCCCTTCTCTTCTTGCTTTCTTTGTTCTTGAGGCTTTCCTTCTTCTTCTTCGTTCCCTTCTTCTTCATCTACTTTGTGCATGTTGTGATTGGTGGTATCAGTTTTGATTGTGTCCATTTCGTGGAAGCCTGGGCCCATCTCTGTGTCCACGTCATCGTCATCGTCCTCGTCATCACCTTGCTTTGGCTCGGGTGATTTGGCTTTGTACATGAAGTATATGGCTAGCTGGGCAATGCCCAGAACAAAGCCTATAGCGTTTGGGATCTGAGGGATTGAATTGGAGTTAAATATTTAAGCCTTTGTAAGATACAACAAAACAAAATGAATTAAGTGATCAAGAGTGAGTGCGGACTTACTATGATATAAATATCTTTAACAAGTACGGCGTAAATGGACCATACACTTCCGTTGAGGAAAAGACAGAAGGAAAGCAGAAATGGCATGTACATCACGCTCTTGGTCTGAATCACCATCCTCTGTTGTTGGACAAGATCAAATATATATGTTGCATGTTGTGCTCAAATCAATAGTGAGTATGGTTGGAGATCATAACCAAGGATTCATGTTTGCCATATATATGGTGTATCTCAGTATCTAGGTTAGAGAGAGAACCTACAATTAATCATCTCACTTGTAAATCACTAATTAATTAAGTTGTTATAATATTATATATATTCTAAGCTCTAATAAATAAATAAATACTAGGTGACTTTGATTTCCTAAATCCAAATTAGATACCAATATTCGATAAAATAATAATAATCGATAATTATGATGGGTCAAAATAGATGTATACAAGGATTACCATGGCGGAAAGAGGCGCTGCGTACATCCCAATAGTCAGTGCCATGCAAAGAGTCCCCACAAAAGTGATCTTCTCATGGCTGTTTTTGTGAAGTGCAAGGAGAGTTATGGCAACCACTCCTCCTAGAAACCCAACGTTAAAGACACCCGCCAGAATCCCCGTACTTATCTGCAAATTATTATGGACAAAACAATTGGAGACCCAATAAATATTAAACTATATGATTTCTTTTGTGAAAGTAGTGAGCTGTACGGTACCTTCTTCTGTTTAGGAGCATAGGTGATAAAGAGAATGACGTAGATGGTCTGAAAGATGGCGCCGGCACTGTTCACCGTCACAATGAGCAGTCCGTCCGGCTTAAGGAGTCCATAGAACGTCCATAAACTAGCACTCAATAGCGTTATTATGTACGGAACTCCTTTGTAATCCTCCGTCGATTTCATCTTTACGATCCTCGCAAATGTCTTGCTGCCAATGAAAATTAACTTAAACATACATATAGCAACAATAATCCAACCAATTTGCATCACGATTGTCACAATAAAATGAAAAAAATCTTGATGATTTTTTTTAATCGTGACAAGACAGAAGTAGTTACATGGGAGAGGTAAAAACGAGTATGGAGAGGAGATTGCCTGCGAAGATTTGTGACCAAATGGAAAATTAATTAGTTAAGGCCATAAGAAAAGCAAAGGCACTAATTAAGATAATATAATTAACTACGATGGGAACAAATTAAATGTGGTTTACCAACGAGGCCAATGATGAAGCTTATTGATGAATTGACAGCCATGGTTGGAGTGTGTGAGGAAATTAAGAAGAGGTTTTCGAAGCAGCAGGGAGGTATCAGTTATATTAAAGCCCGGAGACGGTGACGACAAAGGGAATTTAGCTAGGTTGATTGGCCGGGTAGCCTCTCTTTTGTTTTGGATAACTCGTGTAGCTTAAATGTCGTATAAGAAGTTGCACAAAATTAACACATCGCTCTATCTTTCTGCTGTATGCTCACTTTTGTTCTGTTTCTTTTTTGGCTACTTCAAAATTTTGGGCTCTTTTTAAATTTCATTTAAAGAGGATACAAAATTTAGTATTTAACCATAGGGTCGATTTGTTGTACTCTTTATTGTATGTGAAATCGTATGTAAAATTTGGTGTTTTGTTGGGAAGTACAAGGAACTTGCATTCTTCCCTATAAAACAAACACAAAAACAAAAACAAAAAAGGGAAGGAAATTGCTTTCACATCTTCGGCAAAATGAGGAGATGTTGGTTACGGAACCTTATATCATGCATTAGATTTGGATTATAGTTGGTATTCCCCAACTCAAAAAAACAAAAATTGTCCTTCTCCATGATTTTAGTTGAAGCAACACTAGTTTGTAGATAAAAAATTGGTTTAGGACTTATTGCAGGAATGACAATAGGCATGTCTGGGTGGGTATGTTGATACTCATATCCGTCGTGTGGTGGGTCGGGTTTGGATTGTGTAAGTTATCATGGGACACGTATTAGGACAGGTCAACTCATATGTGTTTGTAATAAAAGAAAATCATTAGAAATATTTATTTTTTCATTAAAAACCCCAATAGAAAAATTATAATATGATAAACGTAGTTAAATTATTTAAAAAATTTATATTCTCGTCTATTTACAACTTCATAATAGCTAAAATTTGAGGCAATAAAAGTAAAATTCTAAATTTTAGTAAATTTACACGAAATTTAGGCAATACGGGTCGAGACTGACGCAGGTCGGGACAAGTCGGATCGAGTAGAGTACCCATGCAAGCCCACCCCGTGCGAGTATTACTCGCCCCAAAATAGGTGAAACATATTGGATAAAAAGAAATTGATATATTAGAATGTTTAGAATAGGGTGCTAACAGCCAATTTGTTGGAGTAGGAACATTTTGCTTTGATGACTTTTTATATTTAAGGGGTAGATCACGATTAAGGCTGATTTTAAAAGGGAGAGGGTACACTTGTCATTTTTTAAATTTTCATAGGGAAACACGTGTGGTGCTGCCACTTTAATTTTGTCACGTCCTTAGCTTACAAGGACCACAAGTATCATGAAGCACATCAAAATCACTACAAACCACACCACAAAAAATATTAAATAGAAATAAAACTTATAAAGCAGACAATAACCTCATCATACCACAAAATTTATAAAGCATCATAGAAAACTCAAAGCATACCACAAGTTTCTTAAAGCATACCGGAAACCTTGTAAAGCTGGTAACAAGTTTTCTGAAGCATACCAGAAGTCTCATAAACCTCATAGATCATACCACAAGTTCCTTGAAGCACATAAAAAATCTTATAAAGTATACCACAAGTTTCTTAAAGCAAACTAGAAACGTCATAAAACATAACACAAGTTCTCTAAATCATAGTAGAAAAGTTCAACCTTAGCTAATAATATGCATTTTGGATAAGATGAATGAGTTCCTATAAGACCAACTCCAATGCTATTCCCCAAATTTGTGGACCTTCATCTCCAGATTTGGGGATGATCCTCATTTTCATCATTTTTGCTCCACTACTGTCATCTTCAAATTTGGGGACCTCCCTTTTTTTAGTTTTTCTTTACTTAAAAATGTACTTATGATCATCTTAATATAATTTGTTCATGTTAATTTTTGTATAGTTCGTCATCATTTTTAAATACAAAATTTCCGATAAATTATTTCAAATTTCGAGACCAAATTATTTTTGTCAAAAATGATTGACCTAATTTTTCTTTACACACAACACTTGAAAATGATCGATCTAATTAAACCCCAATTAACCCCTAAAATCTTAAAAAGAAAAAAAAGGCAGGTGGCGGGTTGGCGGTTGTCCCGCCCACCAGCACACCGCTCCCCATTTTTCGGGGAATCCCTATTTCCATCCCCAATTTTGGGAACCAAATGACGATTCTCGCCAAAAATGACGACAAAAGATGAAATGGCGCTTCCATTGGAGTCAGCCCAAGTACTCTGAAATTAAACATGCGCGGTGTAGAGCCGTACAAAAATTAATGACATTTAAGAAAGTCATGGTGATGCGGCCAAAACCGAGCTCATGCATAATATATTAATATATTGGTGAGAAAAGATCGGATGTTACAATAATCGTCATATTACAACGTTCATTAGTAAGGATAAAATAACATTTAACCATCTATAAGAAATTCCAACAAATTTAGCCCAATCGATGAACATCGGGCCATCGGATTTAGAGTTCCCAATCTTGCCAAAATAAGGACCCCCTTAGGCCCACGATTATCACCTGGTAGCGCTTACGACGAACGCACGACTAAACCTGTGCCACTTCACCGTCGAGAACATTTTCTTCCACCTCTCCGCAAATTTCACTCTGCAACTGAGTCGTCCAGAAAGCTAAACTTTGGAGCTTTCTCCGATTGATCCAAACCCTTCTCATAACCCCTAGCGTTCTTCTCAATCTTCTACACTTCCATTCAACAGCAAAAATGTTCAAGAAGTAAGTTCCCAAACTCCCCCGGAATCGCCAATACCATTTTCTCCACCCCCTCGGCGGTCGGTGCTTATGAACTAATCGTGTGATTTGTGTATTCTAGGTTTTCAGACGAAGAGGTATCGGTGCAAAACCAGGTGAAGGCTTTTGTCCAGAGGAGAATTCGGCAGAGTATTGTGGAGGAGGTTGGAAATTTTGGAACTCATTTCCCCACTTTTGTCTGCAAGTTACTAGTTGATGTTTTCATTTCATTTTTCAATGTTGGATTTAGGGGTTTTGAGAGGGAATGAAGAGGGGATAAAGTTCGCCAACACACATATAGATGATAGAAATGATTGAAGTCATGACTGTGCAATGTCTTTGCCACATTTGACCTTCGATTGCTTTTCAAATGAATTGTATCACATCAAATATTTGTTAGACATCTAGATATTGTAAACTTTGGACTAGGATATCATTGTTACTCACATGTGGGAGGCTTTTTAAAGTAAAACTGCACCACTATGTAACATAGGAAACTATTTTTACAATATTCTTCTTCATTAATTAAATTGAAAACCCTTCACATTTCTCTTAGGAATAGTCCCATGATTATTAAATAATTAATAAGCCTAATATTTTTAATAATAATAATAATAATAATCAAATTAATATCTCAACTCATACTTGTAATATGAAATCGAATAGGCTACGATATTGTGCCAAAGCGAACAACGTATTTCTGAAGTGTGACAGTGCGAGGCTAGCTAATTCTTATAACAATCCAACTCCCATGAAACCACCCCTTAAGATTGAGTGTGGAAGATGTTGACAACTTGATATTGAAAATTACTTCAGAAAGCTTCTTATGTTTCCAATACATCCGATTGAATTTAAGTACCTAGATTGGTCATTTAGTTTACTCTGATGCGATTCCCTGACCAACCAAGAATCAAAAGGATGGAGAACGAAAGACCCCCAGCCAAAAGGGACCGAATCCCTGACCGGGGATTAGAAACAAGAGATCCCCCGGTCAGGAGGACAACATACCCAATCGGGCGCTGACGGGAAGTGACCGGCGATCGGGCGCTGACGGGTTCAAATTACCTTTTGTGTTTAGGATTCTTTTTCTATTCGGAATTTTTATTAGTTTTTGTTTGTTTGGCCTATTTAAAGGTTTAAACTTGAATTTAGGAAAATTTAGAAGACTTTGAAGAATTATTGAGTTTATTCTTGGCTCATTGAGCTTTTAGCTAGTGAATCATATTTTGTATCAATCGAGTATTCCTCTTGATTATGGTCAAACTTCTACCCTATAATGAAGAGCTTTCTCCCAGGTGTGAGATTGCACTTCAAGTCTGTCTTATCCCTAACTTTTAATTCCCATTTTTAGCTGTGCGACTTTGATAACTACGCGCACCGGGTCCGTGCTTGTATTACTCACCTTACGAATCAATAGTCCACTTCTAGTGTCTAAATCAACCTGCAATATATGTCCATTAAACCCATGTTGGTCATTTGCCCACAAATTAAAATGAAAGTTTTTAATGCTCTGCACACATGCATACTCTAACCTAATATGAATACGAATAGGCTACGATACTTTGACAAACCGAACAACGACTTTCTGGAGTGCGATAGTGTGACTATTGATTGTGAAGCTAATGGATGCAGGGATCATCTTTGCTATATCAGATAGCAAGTGGGTCAGCCCCACTCAGGTGGTCCCGAAGAAAGATGGGATGACTGTGGTCCCGAATGAGAAGAATGAGTTGATCCCGATGTGGACCGTGACCCTCTGGAGAGTCTGCATTGATTACCAACGCCTAAACGACACCACTAGGAAAGACCATTTTCCCCTACCTTTCATTGATCAGATGCTGGAGAGGTTGGCTGGCCATGAGTTTTATTGCTTCATGGATGGCATGTCTGGTTATTTCCAGATCCCTATAGCATCAGATGATCAGGCGAAGACCACATTCACTTGCCCCTTTGGTACCTTTGCTTACCGGAGTCCGGAGGATTCCATTCGGGGCTGTGCAATGCACCAACGACCTTCCAGAGATGCATGCTGGCGATCTTCGACCGACTGGTCAGAGAGATCATGGAAGTCTTCATGGATGACTTCTCGGTTTATGAAGACTCCTTCACTCATTGTCTCCATAACCTGGAACTCGTTCTGAAGAGGTTCGAGGAGACTCATTTGGCACTCAGCTGGGAGAAGTGCCATTTTATGGTCCGTGAGGGGATTGTGCTCGGGCACAAGATCTCCAAGCAGGGGATTGAGGTAGATCGCCCGAAGATTGAGTTAGATCGCGCGAAGATTGAGACGA